CCTGGCAACCATCACGGTGAAAACAAAGGCCGAACACTCCCAGGAACTGTACTTTGGGATGGTTGTCGAGACTCTACTGAACATGTGCAACATATGTAAATTCGGTTGCTCGGGATTACTTCAAAGTTGAGTTAGTGCTGATTTCTCGACGATGGTGGTCATCGCGCAGCGTCCTGTTTGATATGGGACTCATAGCGACGTACACAACGCGTGTAAAATACATTGTTTATTTACATAAAATTCGAACATGCGCTGCGCGACGACAACCGCCCTTTAACCTTTTTCACCGGCTCTTCGACTGGCGTTCTACTACTTAGAGTCGACTTACGGGATGGTTGTATATTTATTTCAAAGAAACCAAAAGATTTTCTGAATTTCAACAACTCAACTTGTTGCGAATTGAGTTTTACCGATCATGTAATAATATGTTCTCCTTATGTAGGTCAGGTCAGGTCATAGTTCAGGATAGTCGATCGAATGAATGGATATATATAATCAAATCGGTGAGTGATGGATTGACTAATAGTCAAACAAATAAAATAAATGTGCAAATTATTTATATTCTTCACCTACTTTTTAGTTGGCAGGATCATAGTCTTGTCTGTTTATTTTTTATTATTATACTTTTCACTGTAATTGTTTATCTTTTTAAAATTTTGCTTTGTGTAGATTTGTTTGTAAATTTACTAGCCGGGTTCTAATGGTCATCATCTAAAGTCTACGCATTTATACGGTGGCCATTTTAAAATTACAAATTAAACAAAAATGGCCCACAAATATTCAAAGGGACGCATAATTACCGTCATCGCGAATATGTGGCAGTTTAATGTTAACGTGCTAATAAATATATTAAAACAAAAAAATATTTTAGGCGCATGTTGGGGGTGCTATAATGGCCATTTTCGCTTCGCTTCGCAGGGAAAATGTGACGTGTTGAAGAAGCTGGTGTCCAATGTCTGCTGCATTGATCAAAGCAGAGTGCTGTACCACAATTACAAGAAAGCACAGGGCGCCTCACAGATACAACAGAAACATGACGAAAACACCATCATATTCAATGGAGGAAACAGTAAGTACAAATACGAAGTAATAACCAAATATTAAAATCAACCAAAATATATATAAAAATAATATAATAACCCGAGAAGCTCGAAATAATATAACCAGCGGAGACTCTCTAGTTGTAATGATGCATTACACCCGGGCCCGACGTGACTGTATAACAGAGTTAAACGCATATCCAAATATTCCCCCAATATTGTATTATTACAGTATTGGAATATTTTGTAGGAAAAAAAGCTCTGTTTGGCCGAGTTTTATCGGGCAACAGCTGACATTTGCAAAGCAAAAAGATTCCGCGGATAACGTAGCATCGGTTCGACGCGGCTATATAATGAAACGTTTCAGTTTCGTTGACAGCTTAAAGCGTGGCAGTCGTCGCGCTGCGCATGTGCGACACTTGTGTTGATAAATATTGATTTTCTCACAATCCAATGCATTCTTCTAATAGAAATCCGTGACAAGTATGAGGCTTTACCTGGGCGCGACTTGCACTGATTACCGCCGATGACTCCTTTGATACCTTCCAACCACCTGAAAAATACCTGATTAAAACTTGGTAATGTCTCGGTTTGTACTGTTGAACAGTCAAAGTCGCCATCTTTGTTTATATGAGGCCTATATATCTGGCGTATGTGTGGCGCGACGCTACAGCGCTTTAATACCATCCATATATATAATTTATCAAAACTGAACTCACTATTTAATCAAAATCCTTCTTGTATACATGCAGATTCGTTTATAGCAATGTCAAAAAAGAAGACGGGAACACATCATATGACCGTCCCAAGCGAATCGAGTTCACGGGTGTCATCGGATGTGCACGGGGAAAGACGAAAGAAACAGAGACAAAGTGACTCAGCTATAAAGGTTTGTGAGGGCGCTATATACCATGATAGTAGTATAATTGTAGATTTTACACCAGTATATGCTCTACTGTAATATTGTACGTGTATTATGCTGTAGGTTCCTCGTAGAATGTCGCAAACTTACGGCACCAATGGTTGTCTACGTCGAGGAAGCGATGCCCAACTACCGCACTGCGTGAAACTCTCCGAATTGACGGCCGGAGATTGTTTTGTAAGTATCGCCCTCTAGTGCCTCAAAAATTGATGTCTTTGTTTTCATACACTAATTTTGTCTACCGCAATGCAATGTGCGTAACTTTCCGAACTAATGGCTTACAACTGTTGTGTAAGTCGCGTCCTCTATTTCCTCAACAATTGTTGTTGCTCAATTGACAGGAGATCGTTTTTGTAGGTAGCGCCCTCCAGCGACTGAATAGTAGCTGCTTTTGTTTTTATATATATGTTTTTTGTGCAAGTTGAAATTATTTCACTTCGGAGGTTATTTAACATTTAATAGTTTTAATACACAATCTAATATATCTAATCATTTTAAATGTTTTCACAGGGTTTGTACACAGTAATTCCTGGTGTTATTGATGCAGGTGTCAGTTTGGTAAGATTTTTCATTTCATTAAATTTGTAAAAGTTACAGTTTGTCCGGTAACTGCATACATTAGTAGCACTATAGACTGCAGTGGCATATACCCAATCTCTTAGTAACAGTATTTTGGCATAGACTTGCCGGGGTGTATAATGTGATGTCGTCTTATCTGTAGGTAAGCCGGGGTGCTGAAGCTATTCGGATTAACAAAGCCTTCTTCCTTAAGTTTGCAGATAAGCCATTATTTACACAGATTGAAATGAGAGTAAGTTTACATTATGGTTTTTAACACTATGGACGTTACCATTCATATTTTTAAGGTTTTTGTTGTGTTGTTACCAGTCAGCAGTATCCCTTTTCAACTAATGCGACAAGTTAAATAAATATGACGCGGACGATGAAATCATACTTCATAACTTTAGTGACATCTATGAGCAGTTGCTTGTTAATAAGGAGAAAGCAACAATGGGCACTGTGCTGATTCATTTAAAGATCTGATTTTTTGTAGAGAACACGTGTCTATATTCTCTTCACACCAGGCATAGATTGTAGTTTACTGGTTACTAGTAGTCCATGTTTTGTGTCAATTTGAAATAGTTAGCGCAAACCGTATTAGCAAAATTTTGTCGACTGCGATGTGTAAGTGAGTGTATTGTGTCTGGCATTTTTTTGTGTTTGAATGAAAGCAACACTCTAAGTTCAGGATAACTTACAATTACAATTCCATGCTCATATTCATATGTCATATCAACCAAGAAACATATTTGTATAATGCATCACAGCCCACTATCAAATCATCACATGTTTCTTATTCAATGTTGCAGTATGAGCCGTATCCATGCCAAGACAGAGTGTTGGAAGAGCTTGACGTCACCAGCCAATGGGAGGAATACAAACAAATGGAATTCAAAAACACTTTAGAAAAATTGAAAAAGAAATGATGATTCATTTGAACTTTCAGCAGCTGCCAAACTTAGAACTTGCTTCAACAATCATTCTAACAGAGAAAGACCTGAACTGTTACCATCATTAGGTCCTCGAATATATTTTATGAATAGATATTTCCCTTTAAAGGCATGTACATCATACACAAGTAGTAGCAAAGTTAAAAGAGCTTGCATGTAAACATTAGTATGTGTATATGAGGATATTGACTGCTATGCTCATACATTTTGTTGTACCCATCGTTTCACTGCAGTGTTTAAATTGCATCAGCTCTGCACTATTTTTAACAAAGATAAATATACATTATACCCATGTTTTATGAAATAATGTTAATAGTTTTTGCAAGGTACCTGTGTAACGGATACCAAGCTTCTACCATGGTCTGGAAATTCTGCTAAAATACACCTCCAAGGTTATTCGGAAACCGAAATGTTGATTGGCTGACAAATATAGCATGTCGCAAATTTGAATATTTTTTTTGGTAATTTTGTTTGTGTGCCAGGCGACATTTCCAGACATTGAATGTCACTGTTGTCTCTCCTGACATTGTTTTTTATATGTGCAAATTGCAAGTGCTAGTGCTGACACATAGTGCATTTTTGCCACAAAAGTCATATTCATGTTTGGGACTACATGACAGGATTCTGTGGCCATCTCTCTATCAAATAACAATTTTAATGCGCTATCCTGGCATCAACAAGGCTCGGTCGAACACAAGCACCTGCAGACCTTAACCAAGGTTCCCTCAAAGTCGCATTCGCTAGTGAATGAATCTCGGCCAGTGGAATTGGTCTTATCATTGAGTCTGTGGGCACACTCATCCAGGGTAGGGGTCGACCCTTTGATGTTCAGCCTAAGATAGGATTTGAACTTGGGTCTACCGGCCATGAGTCTGATGCGACCAGCACTCGACTACCAGTGACCAAATTTGAATATACTAATTGATTTTCCAATTAGAGGACAATTTCTTTTTCAGTTTCAGAAGTAGCTAACTCTTTGATATATTGGGATGAGATGGTACCCCTACACAAGGTGGTAGAAAATCAGAGTAATGGTAGACCTACTTTAATAGAAAACTTGTTTTACTATTAAACATTTACTTTTAATATTTCAGTCAGTGGAGCACATAACAAGAAATCAACAAACAAATAATGTGTGAGGTGCAAGTTTCCAAGTGACTCATAAGATGGTGTGAAATAAATACACTTTTTATTTGGATTTATGCAGATCATACAAGTTCACAATGAAGTTGTTCTGAACTGATCACTTCAGCAACAGTTTCTTTCTTCATAGGTTTGTGTGTTTTAATTTGTGTGAACTTTTTGTTTATTTCCAAGACTCGCAATACGATGTATATTTTTTAATATTTACTTTAACTTTATTTTACTTCAATAACGGAAACCAAGTAAATAAAACAATGTCTTGAAATAACTTGAGTTGAATGTTTTTCCATAAATACACACATAACTGATCATGTTTTAGACAACTTAGATTTAGGAAAAACACAAACAAAAGTACAGTATTAATAAAAACAAATATTACAATTATTCTCGCCACTGAGGTCAGCCTATGCACTGACAGGCTGGGGAGATTAAAAATAAAAACAAAGTAATGAAGACCCACACCATCGATGGCAACATTCACAATTGACGTTTATTGATATAGCTCATCCAAGTGGAGCAGGTCCATATCATGACAAATAATACTGAAACACTTGATACCTATGCATAGCTGTGAAAGATTCATAAAATTGCAACAAGATCACTTATAAGCCGTGTTCTTATATGAAGTGTACATTACTGGATTCAAAATAAGTTTTGAAGAATTACATTAGTTTCTGTTGTCTATATACAAGTATTGTTACAGTAATAATTCATTTATATGTATTCCACTATTAGAGTTGCACTCTGAGATAATTCATACAGTTTTATCTTGGGACTATTAAGTCTTGGGACTATTATATTAAATATTTGATTGTCTGGAATTGAATTGTAGAGAATGTATACCTGTATTTAAAAATGTTTAAATTTCAATGTACCTGGATTCACAAGAATTCACTTCAGTTCCAAATTACTGTAGGCTGCGATAATCAAAAACAGAGTCCTTGTTTATTCCCCTGTCAATGACCTCAGAGCGTAACTTGATGTCCCCGGTGTCCAGAAAAACTTCTACTTTCTCTGATTGAAATGGAAAACTTGATTGTACAACTCAACTCAATTATAAATAACACAACTGAGGAGACAATAGAGTATTAACTGTGCTAACTGTGAGAAAATTGACTTTCAGACAAGTTATTCTGCCCTCACTTGTAAAATACTAAAGTTCTAGTATTTAAATACACCACATAAATCAATGTTTACCCAGCTTAACAAGACATCAGTTTTGTAATTTTTGTAACTTTGGTACAAACTGACATCCATCATTGCATATTTCCACCAGTCTAAATGTTTTTTTTAATTTTTTCTACAACAATTCACCTCTGAGAAGAAAATATGGCTACTTGTAACAACGGCACCAGTTTCAATCCTGTAAGATCCGCCATAACAGCGTCTGCGGCTGAAAACGTCGTCACTTCCATCAAATTGACCCGTCTGAATGCGAAGATTGCCATAGCTAACACTAGTGAACAAATCAGAAAACTGATCATTATTAAAGAAAAAAATATAGAAATAATATAGAAACAAATAAACAATATTCTAATATAATAGAGGAAAAAAGTAATATTCATTGGGTTTCATTTTAACAGATTTAAAGCGCATGGTTGTTGTGCCGCATTCTGTTTGATATTCGGTAGGACTCATAACGATGTACACAACGCGCTGTGCAATGACTGCCACTCTCAATGCTGCAGTGATATTCACTAGATACATTCTTTTCTTAGAAAGTTTGAATATAGACAGGATTTTAATTCAGAACATTTAGGTATAAAACAAGTACCAAGCATAAGAAGATAATAAAAGCATTAATTTAAATAAAGTACAACATATAATATTATAATTCATGCATCATATATCTCGACACAACTATGTATATTATCATGGAGGACTATATCTGACATTATGAAAAAATACAACAGTGGGGTTAATAGAACCATAATGACGATATGAACGTATAATTTGAGACTTCATACCACCCAGTTAGGTGAGTTTAACCGTATAGTGACATCTCCGTATGAATGCTTTAAATAACAACGTACCCCACGCTGAGATTTGAAACCCAAACCATGAACTGTCAGTGATGATTGCAAGCCTTGACAATCAACTTAAATTCATCCAATTTACGACTCGGATCCAATTCAAGTAGGCGCAATAAATTGACTTCATTTACAGAAATTGATGCCTAATTTTCTTCTGAAAACTGCATGTGGGGATTTCGATTTGGACTATTAGACATTAGTCTATACTTGAAAAGAGCTATTATTAAACGAAAATGTGAAGTTATACCATTAACTATCGGTTTGATAGATGCCTGAATTAAACGAGTAGACGTTTCTGAATTTATTGTATTATCTGGCGTGAATTATTGCAATTTATTACAACTCAATTTTGTTTTTTCATTTTCATCAGTGATTTTTTCTGATTTCTGACGAGTTGATTGTAAAATATTGGAAAAAGGGTATTTCCACTGTATCGTTCCATTAAAAATAGCAAACATCAAATTTTAAGTAAAAATAAATTACATAACAGTACCTTCATAGTAATATTTAGTTTGACAATCATACTACTACTGATTTCAACCCAAGCTAATAATTCAACCACAAAAATGATCTTTTATTTAAAATTTGTCTTCAAACAATTGAGCAATCTTTGAATTGTTGATGGTTAATAAAAATATGAGAGTTCGTTTGGCAACACAATGGTTGTTTTGGTTCAGAATTATAGAGATTTAAAAAAAATACCTTGCTGTTTTAAATACCAGTCATATGATTGTGAAACAGACTTGCAATCAACAATGCTGTTCATGATGAAACATACAACGGCACACTAAGGCAAACAGACATTGCTGAAAAAGGCAGAATAATAGAAAGGGAGGAAACCATGTATACGGTATAACCATGTACGTGGTTTGTACACATGGTTGATTGAAAACAGGAAATGATTCTAGCAGTTGAGAATTCCCCCAGATTGAGGTGTATTTCTGATCTAAAGATATTATTTTGACACCCATGATTTGATGCCAAAACGACGCACTTGATTATAACGACAGTTGATGTGGATGTATTTGTAATACCATAAATCTCTCGCGTGAAATTCCATGATAATCTTTGAAATCCTAAGACAGTTATCATGAAAGAAAATGCCATAGTTTGTCAAATATAACACAGAAATGTTACCATGGCAACATGAAACTCAGTAAACATGTTTTAGTATATAGACAGATTTGCGTAACGTTTAGAAACAGACAGTAATACATGGTGCACTAATATGCATCGTTATATTGCCCTCTAGAGGCAGTAATTGGAGATTTTATGAGCAATTATCGTAACTCAAACAATGTACCTCATTAAAGAGACAGCGTCTACACGGATAATAAATGTTAAATCACGATAAAAGGTCAACAGACAGAAAGATAAACGTAACAGTGAAGATTCAGAAAAAAATCAGATAACCATTCAAAAGATGAGTATGACAGAGGGACTCAACGACATTTTCAATTTTCATCGCCTTTTACGAAATAGTTCTGTGTACGTTCTTATCATTTCGATCAAACTTATTTTTTTATTCACACAACATATCTAATTTTGTCCATTGTAAAATTAATTTACTAATTTTACTATTAGATAAAATGTGATTATTACATTTGAATTATATCGCTAGGAAAAAAGAAATGTGTCAGTGAAAGCCACTAAGCAGCCTTGCCGATAATTGAATGAAATTTACGTTACAAACTTTTGGATTATGACAGACTTTTATTTGATCCCACAAATACAATTGTCATGACAACGCTTCAATCCTTGTTAAAATCCGTTATTCAATTTGCTTAACTCTCAACAGAGAAGACCTTCATCAAGCGGTTTAATGGTTCACGTGGTTTAGAAGTCGAACAGGAAATGGAAATGAGCGCATAGGCTGAGATTTGCAATTACTTTGTCCAAACGAGCATTAATACTCAGTCCTGTTGACTAGTAGGATATTTTTATTTTTCGCCTTTTTTAATTGACTTGAAAAGTTAAATGAAAGCCATTAAACTTAATTTTGCCAAAAAAAAAATCTTTTGATTAAATAGAAAGTATATAAGCAAAATAGGAAGCACGGAAATGGCAGATTGGTAATAAATATTATTAAGTAGAGCCGTTAATTTATATTTAATTGGGTAATTAAAGAAAACACAATCCATCACACTTATTAGACTTGGGCTGATTGCTATAGTGGTGTAGAATAGAGTTATTCAATTCAACACTAAATGCAAAACCATGTTCTGAGAAAACATACTACATTTCGCTTAGAAACCTGACCCATTCGAGGTCTTTTCAAGAGAAGCAGAGTTAAAGTAATATTCAGTTTTAAATTAAAATTAGGAATGTTCAATTAAATGTACTAAAAGAGGTGGACAGCAATATGATATTGTTACCAATTCTAAAACGTTTTTTTTTTTCTTCAAGTGAAAAGTAGATTTCGTTTTGGACTTCAAAACAGCTGGAATTCCAGGCTTCTTCTCAGAGGGCGCACTCCCCTCTACTATTCTGCACTCTCCAGCAATGTCTATTTGCATATTAATACTGACACTGAAACCTCAATGACAGATTTATTTCAGCTATAACATATCTATTCATTTAGAAAAGTACATAAACCAAAAATTACATGTATTGTATACTGGGTAATTCAAATATAACACGAATCTTTCATTTATTATTAAAGTGCAAACGCAACTTATACAGTAAATATGGCATTTCATTTTCTTAGCCCAAATGCTGACACATTAAAGCAATAATGCGGAATAAAAATACAAAGTAAATAGACAAATCCAAGTAATGATAATGTTTCATTTCAATTAATTCATTGATGTATATGATTAGTTCTCAATATTGAGCATACAACTAACAAACAAACTAACACAGACAAAGCATTAGCTTACCCGGTAGAATCTCCAGTGAATTATATGCCAGTATCCTATCCCATAATAGAAGCAACTGATCGCTGGCGAGAAAACCTGAAAAGGCTCTCATTATCCACTTGAAAGCAATTCTCAGTCTGAAAATAGGAAAATTAATCTCTAGATGATGTGATAGAGGCAGCATGTAACAATGACAAGTAGGATAGTGGTTAAGTTTTGAAGGAGGGTGGCTTACAAGGGTTATCAAGTGGTTACAATCTGTACCACAGCCAACCCAATAGAAATACACAATATTACTTTGATGAAGTAGTAATTGTGATTTTCGTTTCTCCCAAGATTAAACGATTAGAAATCCTAACAGGGTTGAATGCACGTCAATTTCCTTAACCGAAAACATTTCCAAAGGTCAGTCTAATTACTTCTTGTGTCGATTGTTCATGCCTATAAACACGATTGGAGTGTGCACAATAGACGGGACATTGGGACGGCAATGTGTGTTCAGGAATGAAAATAATTCAACTGATGGAATTAGTCGCATTAAGGAATTCAAATAGAAGCTACATTAAGGGCAAATAAGTGAAATAATGCTTAAAGCAAACACAATAATCGCTAAACAGTAGACTTTTAATATAATTGGTTCTGAGTGGTTGATGATCGTTCCTGGAAAACAGGATGGTTTTAACCACATTTTCTCAAATTTTGAGCAAAGAGTACGATGGAAATTATACTCTCGAATGATAATTGCTGAATGCTTTATATGTCACTATTTCCATCATTTTCCCGCCAAAATATTTGTGGTCTATTTATGCACATGTTTAAAATTTTTTCTGTATTTTTTTTCATTAATTTTGGATGATATGGATAAAATTTTACAGAGGTCTAGAAGTTTATGAAGAAAAAAAATGAATGAAGAGAAAATGAAACCGACTATGTCTTGCCTTTGTACCAGCTATAAACATTATTTGTAACACTTGAAAAAAAAAAATGGCTGCCAATTTTGAAACAAAAGGATGTGCACCAGTAACCCATCATGTGTAATGTATATAGAAATTTTGAAAGAAATTGGCCCAGGCGTAAAAGAGATTTTGGCATTTAGGGGACAAAAATAGCTGCCATTCGGTCAAAAAATGTACAACAAATAAAAAGGCATATATGGACCATTATGACTTGTCTCTGTACAACTTTGAATATAATCAATCCAGACATGTCCGAGAAATGCTGTTGGAAGGATGCACGGCCACGCACACAAAAAGATCCTGAAAAAAAGCCTCTGTTTCAGACTATACATCAGATGACGACTAAAAATATGCAGGCAGGTAAATATAGAAAGTGAAACATGTCTAAAAGATAAATACTCACGGTTGTGCCCCAATTTCTCTGAGATGGTAGAACAATTGAGGCTGATGTGTTTGTAGCAGTGACTCAAATAGGATGGAGAGTGCCACAATGCCCTGTAAGACAAACACCAAATTATATCAGATGCTGTTCTGACTTCATGATACAGCAATATCAAAATGTTGTTTAAATACCCACTTACTCATTTGCATTCATAAATAGTTATAATTTTCTCTACTTTCACTAATTAGGTTTAGAAGCATGATAATATTGAAAACAAAATATAGTTGACTGGTATGAATCATAGCTCTTTTCTGGTTGACGACAACAAGCATTTTTCTGTTCATTGCTTTTTAAAACTTCAACTACATGTATATATTCACTGATCTGCGTCACCTTTTGTTTTTGTTGTTGTTTTATTTCACCAGAAAATATGCAATAATATTATACACAGTATTTGCATATGTGGGCAGAATGAGACAAGCAATCACAATTCACTGATTTTTATTAGTATCAATCATCCATACACATCATTTGATCTAGCAAGTAAAAAACAAAACAAAAAAGTATGATTAGTATGATCTAAACATTATTGGAAAAAAAAGCCATACTCAAACCATTGGTTAAGGAGGTTCAGAGAATAAGTCTATTTTTTATGTGCTAGCTAACAACACTAATTGAATAATTTCAGAGAAGTGAAACGTCAAATAACTATTGGTCCAGTGGTTTCAGAGAGAACAGAATCTGTAGGCTGAGCAACATATCATCATAGTTCAGCGAACATTCGGCAATTTGAGCTATAAATAAAACGCTAGTCTCACGGGTCTTACAATTTTCATATCTGATTACTTATTAAAAACAACAACAATGAAAGAAATTCAAGTTTAATATCAGCACAGACTAAACAATAAACGTTAATTTTAATATTACGGTAAAAGTAATTACGATGTGACCATGCATGCTGCACCAAAGTGTAATTGCTAGGCTGCAGTGGGAATCAATAAGCATAGAGGCATCCGGAGCAATAACCATGTTGTCGTATCCCTCAGGACTTAGATCATCACCACAATCATCTACTTGAAAAATATATCAAGAAGCAATTTGGGAAAATCATTTCTTTCATCTTTCTGCACCATATGAAATGTACGTCTTCAAGTAGGCAAACATTTTCCTGACATTTGTATGCATGTTCACTATTGATGGATGGAAGGTAAAAGTTTGGATTTACCAATATGAATGTAACTTTCTGTTGTCTTAAAAACAAATTGTATTTATCATCTTTATAAATCAGTAATAATGAAAAAAATTGATTTTGTACATTGTACTTAAGTTAAAAGTTAATTATTACACTGTCCCTTTAAAGTTATGACACCACTGTCCCTTTAAAGTTATGACAACACTGTCCCTTTAAAGTTAAGACATCACTGTCCCTTTAAAGTTATGACACCACTGTCCCTGGAAAGTTATGACATCACTGTCCCTTTAAAGTTATCACACCACTGTCCCTTTAAAGTTATCACACCACTGTCCCTTTAAAGTTATCACACCACTGTCCCTTTAAAGTTATGACATCACTGTCCCTTTAAAGTTATCACACCACTGTCTTTTTAAAGTTATGACACCACTGTCTTCTTAAAGTTATGACACCACTGTCTTTTTAAAGTTATGACACCACTGTCCCTTTAAAGTTATCACACCACTGTCCCTTTAAAGTTATCACACCATTGTCCCTTTGAAGTTATCACACCACTGTCCCTTTAAAGTTATCACACCACTGTCAATTTAAAGTTATCAAA